TTGGCTCGTGATAACTGCATACGCTGAAGTTTCTCTTTTTACATTTTCTCGATTGGCTGACTGTTGATTACTAAAGAAAGTGTTCATTAAGAGATTGGGTTTGGATCACACTTGCGATATATTATCTGCAAGATATCCTAAATTGGAGCCGTCATTCTTGCTACAAAAATTTTAAAAAATTGGCTCCTTATGGCCAAGTACACCTGCACCTCACTCCAATTATATTTACTTGAAATAGTTTCGCGCTGTGACTATAGTAAACAAGTAGTTGTTATATCAGGTAGGGAGCTCGAGATGTAACCACTAAAATCGTATGACCCTTTACTCATTTTTGGCTCAAGTTTGCAGTTTGAAGGAATCCAGAAGCAAATTGCCAGCCCTTGTTGCTCTGCACTCTGTACAGGCGTGACTCAGGACTTAAACCAGAGACCACCGGCGTGCGAATCTTGCGCTCTTTTATTTTCATTCTGTATTAAAATCTTGTGTACCTGAGAGAACGATTGTCGTTTCTCTGACTGCAGACAGCACTCAATAATAACATGTGACCATGCATGCGGCTGAAACATACAAGATTTTGCTGTAGCTAACATACCAAGCCCTCCGAAGATTTTATCCGTGTTGCAATCGTGAAGAACGTCTTGAACTTTTGCAAGGGGATTATTCAGCCGGAATACCTGCCCGCTCATCAAACTGCACCATAAAGCAAGTACAAGCCGGCCCTTCGTTGCATAATTTTCAACTATTTTAAGAAATGATTCACATTTCAGTTCATCCGCTCCAATGAGGAAATAAATGTTTCTAGAAGAATGTTATTGAGTTCTGTCAATCAGTACGACATACAAAGCCAAATCAATATTATCAATTAGAGGAATATGCCATTGTTTTGCAGTGGCCAGTCCTAACAGGCAAATTCCTTAGATTTGTTTTCACCGAAGACTTGCCCGGCAATTGTTCTTTGTACTTTGACTAAACATCTAAAACCGATGGAAATACCAAAGTGTTTGGATGATCTTCACAATCATTTCTATGAGAACAACTCTTCACTAAATATAAAACTACTCATAAATAACAAAAGTCACGTAGCACAGTAGAGTTGGCACAGAGTATCTTGTTTTGATTGATTTAGTTTTAAGTGGAATCTTTGTATTGTATTTCTTTTTTCCCGTTCCTATTTTAGTATACAATTTCCTGTTTTCAAAGATCACCTTAAACATCGAACAGGCATGGGCCCACCCATTCTTCATTTTCGGCGATCATTTATTACCATCTTTGATTTGATTGGCATGTTGACATCTAGTTCCTGATTGAAAGTTTATAAGCCACGAACGGCTTACTTCGCTAAATCACTCGGAGGTCACTCGAGACGCTGTAAAAGGGTTAGGCCCATTTTTTGCTTTGTAATAATTTTTATTTTCGAGTACTACTCCTAACTTGCTCGTCTTATAAATGGCAGACACAGGCATTAGGCTGCTCTTGACTATACTTTCATCCTTCACCCAACACAACCCTTCGCCGTATTTCTGGTGTAAAAACACATCCCTTTTGTACTAATTTAGCGGGTTGCAGTATTGATTCAGAATTTATAACACCGGACAATCTTTTTAATAGACAATCTTTTTAATAGACTCTCCAGAGAGAAACGCACATTAGGTTTGTTATTCAGATCTTATCCTTATTTTATTCAGCTTCAATGAGGAACTGATCATTCTTCGATAATTGATATTTATGAAGTTATTTCTCACGTCACATATGCAATCATAGCCACTGATAAACTGTTACAAGTACGACATTTTAAGTTTATGATTTAGTAGCTAGAGATGTTGTCAGTTAAAGAAATATGCATTATGAAGAAACGACCGTAAGAATCAATCAGGCTCGTTCCTTTTAGTATTTCCCGACGTAAAGTGTTACGTCCGATGTTGAAAAAACTCATAATGACAGGAAGGTAAAATTGACTTTGCATTTCACGCTTCTTAAGTTATCTTTTATATAAAGTTGATTAATTATAGGATCGTTAAGATTTGTTCAATGACTTCTTTGCTTCGCTTTTACTGATCAGTTGAAAACTTTTTTTAACCAGGGATTGTGAATGGAAGATGGTATTGCTGTTTTACACAAGCAGGCTTGAGGGCGAAAGGACAGCCTCTTGATAATTAGAGCAACCTGAGACACAGCTCAAAGAAGGCTTATTTCGATCTTCGCATTTAGACGCTGAGAAGTCGACACCTTCATGTAATCAATTTGTGTAAAACAGAATAAAAATGTGTCTGATTTGTTAAATGAGTTTATCTCAATCAGCCCTCACATAGAAAAACGATAATTAACAGTTACTCCTTACACCCTGAAATCACTATGCACATTCTCCATACTGTTCTCGATACAATTTCTCAGGTGCTGACAAGGAAAATCATTTAACAATCAAGAGCTTCTATATTTAGTGACCATCTTCTTTATTCTCATGACCTTAATGTGTAATTCAGGGGTGATACTGTTGGGAGAAATTACATGCTTGTCCCTCTTAGGAGTTAAAGGATTAACCATTTCTGTGAATCACCTTAAACATTGCCGTTGTCGGCAGCATATGATTATCACAGCTACTGGTCTTTGGATTTCCCTTTCAGTCTCTTTCTTTACGTGGGGCAGTTTCTCTGTGTACCCTCAATTTTTTTCATTAACCGAGTTTTCGTTCGCATTCACACTCTATTATAACTGAGGTGGTAACGACTTCTGAAAATTAGGCAATTATGAAATGGAACAAAGCATTCAATTGAACGTCTGGCGAGCACGTTGCACCTTAGTGTTCAATAGCGATATTTCTAGTGAGCTTCGGTTTAGTCAGTAAGGTACACGACACTTAACGCTCCGCTTTGAGCATTGCAAAAATTACGAAGAAAAAATTACCAAATTAAAGCAGCAGTATGTCGCAGTAAAGCTGCTCATAATTTTAGTTACTTGTTAGCTCGACGGCAATAAGTCGTCGGGATCCCGATCAAAAGCCTGGGCCTCGATTAACGCTTGCACCCCTTCCCAACCCCCCATGTTCATCAAGAGCAGTTTCATTTGTACGTGAAGAACCAGCTCATAGCCGCCTGGGGGACCCAAGTTGAAAGATGCAAATTATATCCTCCACAACAGTTGCTGTTCGAAAGATATCTAAGACGGGGGCTAGAAGAATAAAACATATCAAAATGCTAAGAAAACTTAAATCGACACTCAAATAGCCACCCTGTATTTGGAAATATCAAAACGTAAAATTTTTAGCCACATACGCTTCAATAGAAAAATTACTTTATTATTTCTTACTAACCGAGTTTGAATCCGAGTGGAAGAAAACGAGGTTCCGTAACTTACAGTGTTGACCGAAAAAGACTTAGAGGTTAGCAAGATATTTATTATAAAGGGTTGAGATAGAGGATAAGATTTCATTTCAAACAAACTTTTGAATCAAGGGGGCTGTACAGCAAAACTGAGCTATATTATAGCGCAAGCATCAACTGAGGGAGGTATTAAAGTTTTGAGTTAAATTTGATGAAAAAAATTATCGACATTTGCATGGTTAATCAGACCATAATGCAATCACATAAACGTTTATGATAAGACATAAATAATTTCAGGGGCTATTTTTCAACTGAAGGGAAGTTGTATTGGTGTGAAAATTCTGGCAAGTATTGCATGTTTTGACCTTTTACAGTATTGGCATAGGGCTAATTTTTTGTTTCGATGAGTTTTGAAATTCGACCGCTATTTTTACAGGGGAACTACTTTGGGTTCCAGCTCTGTGTAACTTTTAAAATGGATTGATTATGACTAAAAAGCAATGCCATAATTGCACTTGTTTTTGGCATCTTTAAGGACAATTTCAGGAGCGGAAGATCTTCTATTAAAATCATTTTCGTGGTGCGGGCCCCTACATAACTTCTTTGTTTATTATTCTGTTAACTGCCGTTGTGAGATGTGCGTCTTTAGAACATATACGTGTTCCTGTTGAATAAATGGTATCGTACCTTTCAATTTGGGCGTTAGTTAATATTCCTAAAACTGGTTGCCTTGGCATCAAATAAATGCTAATTTAAGAAAAGTTCTTTTGACGTTGAACCATCACCCAGGAGCTAGTGCTGACTGACGGGTACGTTACTACAATAAAGAAAAAGGAAAGTAACTTAAATCAAACTATCAATAAGCACAGTACTCAGTACACAGTTCTTATTATTTGATTTTACTACGGCAAAACAAATCGAACGGACCAACCGGAAACCTTCAGAGTAAGTAAACTGGCATGACTTCTTTGTTATCATGTTGTAGTGAGGCCTTGTATTTCAAATATCGATATGAAAAAGGTAGGTTTAATTTTTAACAGTTCCTTGATAAAATTTGGCCTTTAACAAACTCTTTAAAGATATTAATCCTCGAAAAGTTATTGAGAATAATTTGGCAGAGAAACTGGTTAGTTGGTATAGAAAGTGGTAGGTCAGTGTTTCATCAAGAGATACTCCATGTTATCGTTTGATCAAATTCATGGAAATGTATGAAACAAAACCATGCTACCTTTCTAGCTCTCTGCGGAATGGATTGGAATTAGGATTTTATTTGCTTCTTGAAAAAGAACAAGGCAATTTTATAACCATTTAAACAAAAATTTACATGGCCACAAGCGAGAAATACAAATGTTTGAAACACGTTTGAGGGTAGAGCATAAATTATTTCCCATAATAAAGCACAAAATCTTTCCTATCGGAATACTCTCGTAATTTTACTGTCCTTACAACAAGAAAACATGAATATTCCAAGAGGTTGATTGTGTTATATATATAAAGACTAAAATATCGACCATGCCTTCGATTTTTCGATCTATCTATATCACCAACAATGAACTCGAGCACCTCATTTTACTTTTTATTTACCTTATTGTGTCAAGTTACAACTAATCTCGTTTTTATGGAAATAGATGAGAGAAATAAAGAAAGATGTCTTAAACGGCGTCGTCTCGTGCGTTGGGCGAAAGGAGAAAATCTGAGTTAACAAGCGAGTATTCGAATAACGTCAAGGAAGAGAATCTTAAAACATCCGCTCTGGTTGCCTGATATTCCTGATAGTCTAGAATCTTTCTTCAATCTCTTGTATGACTACGTGGAACCAAGTGATAAAAATAGACTTTGATAAAGATAGCTTGAGAAAGGAAGGATATATCTCTAAAAAAATTTGAAAGTCAAATACTGATTACACCGACATCAAGCGATGTTAAGCTAATGAATTATACATTCTGTTTTGCAGAAAATGTCAGAGAATCTCGAAGAATACGACGAAGGACAAAGCGGTAAGAGAAATGCGCCTTAGAATCTTCCTAATCATGGTGCATTGTAGCTGCAGCTCAGCATGTAAAACAGAATTTCCCTTTCAACAAAAACTTCTAAGGAAATTTGTTAGGGGGAAGGGTAGTATAAATCACGCAACTAAAGCTCCCCTTCTAGGCTTTTTTAGGTCTGTGTATGACAAAAAAACCTCTCTAACGACAATAATTTTCCAAGGAAGTTGTTTGAGGCGAAACTATTACTTCTGAAAGTTTCATTTACAGCGTAAACGTGATAGTAACATATTCGCACCCTTGCTTGTGCAAATATGAGGAGACGATAGCCAAATATTGCATCGCAGTATAAGAGTAACCTTGTTCAATAATAGTTAATTCGTGGGGCCTTAAACAGATCCAACCACGTATCATATAGTTAACAACAAGTCTTTTCATTTTTAGGCTCAAAATACCCGAGTTTTTTGACAAAAATAACAAGAACCAAACCCGACCTTTCACGTTTGTCAGAGGGTTCTTTCAGAAGAATTTTATCAACTATGGATTTGACACTCTTGGGAGCGGGTACAGCAATTGGTATTGGTGTATACATCATAATTCCAAAGCTTGTAAGAGATGTTGCAGCGCCTGCTGTCATTTTATCCGTCATTGTGACTTCTTTATCCTTTTTATTATCCGGGATATGTTACGCCGAGTTCAGCTCAAGGATTCCAAAGTGTGGCTCAGCCTACGTTTATTGTTATGCAGCTCTTGGTGAGATTTGGGCTTTCATCGTGGGCTGGACAATGATTTTAGAATATGTGATCGTAACAGCAGTATTAGCAAGAACATGTAGCGAGTACATTGATTACATATTCGGAGGAAGGGCTTACCAGTTTTTTAAAGACGAGGTGGCAACTTGGAATGATCCTTTTCTGGCTCCATTTCCAGATTTTCTTGCATTCGTTCTACCAATAGCCGTGACTTGTATCATTGCTGTGGGAATGCGATGGGCCATATTCTTCAACCACACCATGTTAGCTTTCAGTTCTGCAATATTAATCCTACTTCTTGTCATCAGTCTTTTTTTTGCAAAACCAGATAACTGGACACACAATAAAGCTGTGCCATATGGTGCCCATGACATTTTGAGAGCCGCTGCTAAGAGCTACTTCACCTTCATTAGCCTGGATGCCATATCTTCTGCAAGCCAAGAGATAAAAAGACCAGGGTCATCGGTTCCCCTAGTTGCAATCTTAACAGTTACTTTAATAACAATAATGTATTGCGGAACTACTGTTATCTTCACCTTGGCAATACCTTTCGATGAAAAGAGCGGTTTCGCGCCCCTCGCTAAGATCTTTCGCGTTATTCCAGGGGCTGACTATGCCGTTGCTATTGGAGCAATTTCAGCAACATCACATGGTTTGATCTCGTGTTCGCTGGCGGCACCTCGCGTTTTCTGCACTATGGTTTTTGATGGCCTTCTGTTTGGCTTTGCTTGTATTGATGAAATATCCAGTCCCTTAACAACAATTTCCATTGTCCATGGTGTGTTCAGTGGATGCTTGGCATCTTTGTTCTCCACAGAACATTTGGTATATTATGGCTAACTTTCTTTATTATTGTTGTTGTTGTTGATATTATTTTTCGTTTGCATGCTTTTCATTCCACGCAGTGTGTACTTGCATACAGAAATCTTTGCCTCCAAGCAAATCTCTACAGCTTTGTTTTTTCCTTGATAGACAGTTCTTTGACACCCGGCTCTACACAACTATTTGCGTCAAAATAACATCTTTGGACATAGTTTCTCTGGTTAAAGTAAGCAATCGTAAGATACGGTGTGAGTGTATCAGGGGGCCGCGATTATGAGAGTCCTCGCGGTACAGTAATCATCCCGGCAAGCTCTTGAATATAGTGCTAACACCATGTTTTTTTCTGTCGTATCTTTTTTGTCATGTGCCTATCAGAAAAATGTTCATGAAATTCCGTCCCAGTTTAGTCTGATTCGTACCAGAAAGGGGTTGCTCGTTGTCTGATTAACAGTGATACAGTTTCTTTTCCCACGAGTAATATTTCGCTTCAACATAGCAATCACGGTAAGCTCACACTTGCATGGCTCTTGAAGAGTTGCTGTAGAGGTGTCTTGTTAACACAGAATAATCGAAATAAAGACAAGCTGCTTAAACTTGTGGTGGTATCAAAATGATTCTGGTATAATTGAAATACCTCACAGGCCTCAAAAACAGCCCTGGTCCTTTCTGTTGAATATCACGTCTTTATTTTATTTCACAAACAATCATAATATAGCTGAATTACCTAGAATTTCTGTCTCCGAGCTGGGTGGCACATTTGATATCACTGAACATCCCATCAGGTGTTGCATTCTTTTCAGATTGAGCTTCTCTCAATTGGCACCCTCTTGGCTTACACCTTGGTTGCTATTTCGATCTTATTAGCACGTTACCAGCCTGGTGTGGAAAGTCAAGTGTACGGGAAAGCAGCTAAGCTTGAACGAACAAACGAGTGGCTGAAGTCAATCACATTGGAATCACGATATCCACCTCCATTCTTCGATCAATCAGAACTTGAGAAAAGTGACATCCAAAAAAGTAACACTAGGAAAAAGCCTAACACGATGACACGTGATAATGCCACCTTTGCTGTATTTTTATTGGTTCTCAGTCTTTCATGCCTCGCCGCTGTCCTCATGACTATGTCAAATGGCATCCTAAAGGCGGAGAGCTGGGCATTCTTTGCTGCTGGCATGAGTGGAGTTTTTATAGTTGCTGCTGTCATATTCCTAACACGACAGCCTAAGAACCATGCAGAGTTTCCTATCATGGTGCCGTGTTCTCCCTGGCTACCAATCATCACCATTTTTGTCAATATCCTTCTGATCTCCGGGTTGGATTATTTGTCTTTTGTACGATTTGGCGCGTGGCTAATTCCAGGTAATATAATCTCGAGGACACTTCTATTTCGAACGTTTTTATAATGACTTATCGCTTTACCGACTTCTTGAGTTTCTCTGATTTTTAATAGTCATCTTCCCAACAAGAAACGAGTACCGAGAAAATTTAACCCATATATAGCTAGCACGCGACACACGGAAGGGGTTGGGCGGAAAATGTGACGGCCTTAAGCCCCTACTGGCGCAACGAGCGATTACAATAATGATGATGATGATGACGATATAGCTATAGGTTGATGATGCGAAAGCAAAGAAACAATTTGAAAATTACAAATACATTTGCAATCTTTGGGTCGTTCCTGTGCTTTTTTTTTTGTGTAAATCAATGATACAAACAAGCATTGACATTACTAAATCTCTAAGACAACAACTCTTGGCGTCCTATCCCATGATCTGTGATCTCCAATGGGACAACAAAACAACAAGGAGAGTGAGCCCAGAACGGATGGTAGAACCGATGCCGATGTTTCGCTGTCTCGCTCTCAACGCTATGTATGCTCTACTTAATGCCCAAACGAAAGTCTGTTCTGCAATTATCTAATGAAACTCCTATTCTTGGAAAGTAAGATGGTTAAGTTTTTTTTTACAGCTATAATTTGTACTATTCCCTTCAGCAATTTTTTCTAAGTGAATAATTTCATTTAATCGTCTATTTTTTTCCATGTTATAGGAATGATTATCTACACTTTATATGGATACAGACGAAGCAAAGAGGCGCTCAAACCGAAGAAATCAACCGAGGGTGATTTTATTTTGTTCGAAAATCCTGACGTGGATGCAAGCTTCAAATACATTCAACCAAAAAGAAAACGTGACAAGCAACAAAGCGGGAACTGACGAATTTGTGGGAAATTTAAGAGGCGTATGGGGCGGGTAGGGCGCGTGCGGGCCGGACGTGCAGTGATAGCTGATCTAAATCGAATCTGATAGACCTCCACATGCATGAGTTGATGTGTGACGAGCTTTGTACAAAGGAAAAATCACTGTGGGTCGACTGAGCCCCAAATCCTCCATTCTAGACGTCTATCCCGGAGGCGTTGCCCTCTGATTTGTCTAGGAAACTGGCGCCACCCTCTCAGCCAATCATATGCAACACAAGTACCAATCGGGAACCTGTCGCTTGCATTTTCTCCAACTTGGGGTCTTGAACTCAAACTTCTGATCGGCTGTTGTAATTACTTTGAGTATGGTTTTACGACACTTTCGCTCTAAACATGATCTGGCCTCATTACATTGCATTGTCTTCAGTCAATATTGGTCAATATTGGCTTAACATTAGCCACATAAGTGTCGCCAAATATCTAAACTTTTATTCTTTGCAGAGAAATTACCAACATTCAATTTTTCTAAAAGAGGTTCTTTAGACAAGACCCAAGGATAATTTCCGATGTGTCAAATACCTAGATCTTACTGTTGACGACCATTTCAACTAGAAACAAAAAATATTTTTGAAATTACCGGTAATATATCAGTAAGTGATAGCAAGCTGTCTAAGCTTAGGGCCCAGTTATTCCAAGGGCGAATGACGCTTTCCAACGGATAAATCACTATTCAGTGGATAAGTGTTAACAAAACGTACTGTGCTATTCACTGGATAGAGATTTATTTAGTGGATAGCATTATCCACCCTTCGATTAACCGTGACCAGCATATTTTTGTCTCTGGCAACATATACTAAAATTATTTTATTTCTTAGTGATCCCTTTCTTAGCAATGGCTTAGTTTTCTTTGTAATACCTTTTCTAAATATTCCTTTTATATTCCCCCATAAACGTAGTAATTTGCATGAGTTTGTTCCATCGTCATCGGGAACTTTTTTCTCTTTTCATAACTTACTATTTGTCGCGTATTCTGAATTGAAACAGTTTTTAATCAAGTGTCGAAAAACCAAAACCAAAGTATCACAGCAACCAATCATAACAAAGGTTAAGACCAGCATTGACCAATGAGAACCAAGCGAGCAAGAGAAGACTTGATTCTCTCTCGTGAAAATGCAGAACAAAAACAGGAAACTTACTTGAAGCGAGGGAAAACGCGAATGACCAAGTTGAAGTTGGTTTTAGTTTGCATTTGATTGGTTGACGTGGTGGCGCGAGTTTCTTAGACCAATCACAGAGCGAAATATAGCAAAATCACTGAAACCTGGGTAATGTTATAATTTTCTTTAATTCCATAACCTCTTTGTTCTTTTTACAGTCTTGAATTTTACTACCCGTGCATATTATAAATTTTTCTCGATTGCTTTAACCACTCGGCTATTAAGACTGTACACTTCCAAGTGCCTTAGAGTGCTAATTTAAGTTAATTTTGATCCCTAAAATATTTGTTCTGTGTATTGTGGAAAATAAATAGTAGTTGGCTTTTGTTGGTTACTTGTTGTTGCTGCTACATTGATTTTGGATCTGGGTCGAGATCTGTTTTCAGTTTGTCTTGAGAAACACGCAGTATGTCTTCAAACGATGTTGCAAATAAATAATTAGAGCTGCCGGACCAAAACATTTTTCTAGGTACATTGAAAGCTTATAATGAAAATGAAAATTCCATATTTCTTTCCAAGTTTCGCTTTTTTGGTTAGTTTTCAGTTTTTTTTTCTTCAAGTCTTTCATGTACGATTGTTATACCTTGATATACCATGCCCTGCTGGGGGAAAATTATCTCAGTAATGGTAAAGATTGTCTTATTATGAACCATTTGATACTTATGGTAATTTTTTTTTTAATTTATAAACGTAAATTAAATAACATTAATCCAACATTAGGATTTCTTTGGTAGCAAATATTAAAGGAGTGTACTATTCTGAGAAAAAAAATTGTAACCAAAAATGATAAACTTTATAAACACTACAAAAAATGGGAAAAACAAATACCGTATGCGCATTGAAGAAAAACGTATGTCGCTTGTACTGTCTCAGTATGTCTCTTGTCTCCATAATTTTCACTTGCTTATGTGTACTGACCAGGCTCATTGCGGCGTCTCTTAGTTTAAAACTAGTCAGTCGTAGTAATATTATATTAGAATAGTTTGTTCTTAGACGTGTACTGTAAATTTTGATTATTGTAATTTATGTACTGTAAGTAGATTATGTGTTGTACCAGCTTTTCGTACTAATTTGTGTTGGTAGAATGTTAAAAAAAAAAAAAAAATTCATTTCAGCGATTACTATTAGTTCCTCAGTTATTCCATGAGTGATAATAACGGCCATTCAGTGCTGATGAATACGAGAAAGATATTTGCAGTAATGAACACCACTTGAGCAATACTGAAAATAAAGTTTTAAAAAAAATTCAGGCCTGTACAGGAGTTAAGTAACAGACGTCGCCGGCCTCACGACGGCAACCAGAAACGTGAAATTTCCTTGCAGTCCTCACTGCGCATGTACAACACGTTGTGGCTTGCCGTTGTCCCAAAGTCGAGAACGCGAGAACGTGGAGCTTCACGTCGCGACGAGAACTTGAATACTTAATCTTTTGTTTTGATCACTTTTAGCTTACTTTCGGGCTAATTCAGTTTGGAAGCTAGGTAAAACTACATAATGATTGATTTTATGTTTGAAATAATGTTCTGCAAGCATTATTAGGCTTATTTTTCAAAATTGTTTTCGCATGCCAAACTAGCTTCCAACGATGAGGTTGCTTTCATTCAACAGAATAATTAGTTGTCTTTTCCGATTTTCTCAGTGTATAACCGGTAGATTGTGATAGCTTGACTTAACACTTAAATCATTTTGTATTTCCTTCCTCCTGGCCTTTCTTTTAACATAGAAGCATATTAAATCGACTCAAATTAATTTTGTATTTAGTGTGTTAATCGCCATGTTCACAAGCAGACAAATACGCGCTTCTTGTACACACGAGAAGATTGCGTTCTTCGCAAAAGGTTTTTTTTTCCGGCACTCAATTGATGGCAATTTATCGCTTGAACATTACACATATAACGTGTAAAACAATTTCTGTCTTTGACAGGCCAAGGCAGAACGACTTTTACAAGCTTAATAGTTTGTAATTTTTCACAGTAATAATTTTAAAAGGGATGTGTCGATCATTAGAAAAGTTTTAATAGTACAAGGCTTGAATTCGTCGAGTTATTTTTCAAATATAGGGTATGTTTAACTCGTGGATAGAGTGGACAGAACAAAAAGATGTCATGGAAGTCAGAGAAATCTTATCATGTGAACCCTTTAAATTCAAGGCTGGCTCCAAATAGCGAGGTTCGGCAAGGAGCCAAATAGTGCAAAATCTGAACACACATTCATGAGTCTCAGAGAGCTGTCAAAGATAGTTATGTCGTAAAGAATGGCAAATTCATTTGCCTTTGCGACTCTTTTAATAGAGAAAATCAAAAGGAAATATTGCGTTTCCTTCAAGCTCGAAAATTACGGGTATGCAATCGTCAAAAAGACCTTTTGGAATGAAGTTCACAAAAAAATCTTTAACGAAAACCAAGACAATAAAAACGTTACATAATCTCTTGCGAAAATTAAATGTCCTGTTTCCTTCGCTTTCCACTGAAAGAAGTCAAACTGCCCAGCAGAGAGATTCTTACTCTTCAGCACTGTTGCTATAGTGATATTTGCATGAGAATGTTGTTCGAGACATGTTATGTTAATATCAGACATCTCTTGCTCTACACTTTTCATAGAAAATCAGTCGAAGAGTCTTTCAAAAAGCACCTAGTTAAGACACAATTTTTTTATTAAGTACCAGATTTTTTGACGTTTGGCTAAACTTGGTGTCACGAATGCGTTTGCATGTCACAGGCTGAATTCAGCGGGACGGTATTTTAATTTATTTTCATTGATTTAAAAAACAATAAGATGTTGTCAGACAAATAAATACACCACGCCATTATGCCCGAGGCCTTCTCGGTAGCCATGCTTTCGTGGATGAGCTGACACAACTAACTGATTTGTGTACAAAGCTGTTAACGTTCTTTATCTTCCATTTGTGTTTAGCCAGCTTCAGTTGGGTTTGAGAAAAGTCTTCCGATAAATTTTCTTGATATCATTAAGCTGGACATTTAGTTTTCTGTGAATGGAAAGTGCTCTAACGAGATAAGTATTCATGCTGAGTTAATTCTCGTCCATGAATTGAGGATAATTATTTCGCGCACCCAAAAAAATTGAATTCTCTTTATGGAAATAAGTGACAACTGACTGACCTCTCGTCTTCTGCACGGGATCTTGAAGTTAACCTGCAAAAAAATGGGAAATTTCGGCTAGTTGGGAACAATCTTTACAATGAGGTAAGTTTTAATACTTCACTATCTATGCTCTGCTTAGGACTCGACAAACTTAAGCGTTACCATCAATAAAATTACAACGATATTGTCACGTTCCGCTCAAAATTTTAATAGCTAACCGCAAAGAACATCGCTTTCACTTTGAGCTCTTGGAATTGATTTTCTGAATTCATAAAAGGACGTTGTTAGTCTGATTTAGGTAGAATTAGAAAGCATCTGAATCATTCCGTCTCCTTTAGGAAGAAATAGTTTTGAATTGAAACAAGCTTATAAAAGGCCGGCATATAAAATTCAAGAACGGAGAAACCTCAGGAGCAGCTGATCAATCATTATTCATATCTCCGCTGTCTCTATCAAATTAAAGTGAATAATTCAAACTAAGTTGTGTTGTACATTCAATGCCAAGGTCTATTTTCTAATTTTTCATCGACTGATTGAAAGGAATAATAAAGATGTCGTGACATGAAGCCGCCAAAAATTTATCCTGATGCCTAAAAAGAACACACTCGAAAATTTTCAAACGTTGCTAGGTTTTAAACGTAATACACATTGATCAAATAGCATAGTCGCCAGCCATTAAATTAATAACTTCTTTTAAAACAACTTTGTGCTCTGCAACACTGAGCCTAGATCATTTATAGATCAAACTATGCAAAGCGAAAAACTATGCGAACCATGAAAGGAAATGTAGATGCAATTTATCGCGAGAATAGAACTGAAATCATTGCTAGCAGCCTCCTTTATTTCTCCCTTTTTCGTAGCAACTTGTCTTAATATTTGATTTTTGGATAAGAAT